AGCGCTGAAAAGTGCATATTTAAACCCTTTAAGCTTAGGCATTCTAGTACCTTTATCTATCTTACTTTACCGTCTTAGATTGATTTCGTATTATTTCCATTTTCAGGCACTTACCCCGAAAATAAGCTAACTCAGCCAAATAAGAGCAGAAATGAAGTAATTCTGGGATGAATCAAAGAAAGGAGCCAAGTGGAAGCAAAAGGAAGAAAAAGGTGGAAATCAACACCTTCGATTAATCTCAGATCAAAGTTCGATCGATCCAACATGATTGATCTCAGCACTTTAAGATGGATTAGAGCCATGATGACATTTTCAGAGATCTTAAAAGTTTGATCGATCCAACATCATTCTTCGATCGATCGAACTACCTTATCTTTATCCAAATAATTGATCTTATCTAGTTGTACCACCCTACCAATCACTTTTGTCCTTTTCCGAAAAATATCTTCAAAATATCTCAGATTTGTCTTTATCCAAAAAGCGCCGCCATTGAGGATCGATCCAACTTCAGTTCGATAAATCTCAACCATGTTCGATTGATCCAAGTCCAAGGTTCGATTGATCGAACTTCCTCCAGTACGAAAAAGTTAAATTTCCAGCTCACAAAAAGTTATCTTTTATCCAATCATTGGGGAATATTTTGTACACGACCCCAGCTCATTTTGTGTGTCATTTGACCTACCTATATAAGGATAAGGATTACTTTTTACATCATAACACATTATATCACATCATATCATCTCATACCTTGTAAGAACTCTTGGAGAGCAAGCTTAGAAGAGGAGGAGGCTAGAGACACCATTGGAGACTCTTCATCAACCAAGGAGCAAATCTCTACCATGGAGTTAGCCCTTGAGGGTTGGAGAAGCACTACCATGAGTGGCTAGACATCCTCTTAGGGCTAGAGTTAGCCTCAAGCATGCTTTCTACATCTTGATTTTGTGTATTATTGAGAGATTAGTGTTGTAATACATGTTTTGGCACTTTTATATATATAGATCTTGTTTATTCAATGATTTATGTGGTTTAATGCTTCCAATTGATCATTTCATTCTATCCATATGTCTATGTATGCTAGAATAGATGTTTATGTGTTTAATGGAATGCTCTTGTAATTTTCTAGATGGTTCATTCTCATTTCTTGATGGATTGTGCCTCTCCCTTAGCTTAATTAGTTTAATTTTATGTCATTAGCTTAATTGTAATGTAGTAGTAGCATAGTTGTTAGATGGAAGGACAATCCATGCTTGTTGTTTGATGTTCCATACTTTTGAATGCAAGTAGCATATGTATTTAACCTTGTGGTGTATTTGGCTTGTGAGCTTAATGAAAGGATTAATAACTTGCTAGATACATTGTGCTTTTCACATGCTATTTAGACAATATATACTTAATTGTTAGATATATTGTGTTTTTCACATGTTGATTAGACAATGTATGCTTAATTGGTCACCCTTGCTAATTGAATCAACGAAACACACACACACATCAATATTGCAACACACATTTCCCTCATTAGTCACTTGTTAAGGGTGTAGGAAAGTATTGTTTGGTGGTGACCTCTAAACTCCAAGATCTCTCTCTCTCTTACTGATGAGCACTGAAAAGTGCGTATTTAAACCCCTTAAGCTTAGGCATTCTAGTACCTTTATCTATCTTACTTTACCGTTTTAGATTGATTTCATATTATTTCCATTTTCAGGCACTTATCCCGAAAATAAACTAACTCAGCCAAATAAGAGCTTAATTGAAGCAATTCTGGGATTAAACAAAGAAAGGAGCAAAGTGGAGAAAGAAGGAAGCAAATGAAGCCAAAAGTGGGAAACAGCAAAGTTCGATCGATCCAAGTTCAAGGTTCGATCGATCTAACAATGATCGATCTCAGCACTTCAAGATAGATCCAAGCCTTGACCCAAAAGCATAAAGTCCAAAAGTTCGATTGATCCAACACCATCCTTCGATCGATCGAACACTTTTGTCCTTATTCAAATGATTGATCCTATCCACAGCTGTACCACCCACTAACCACTTTTGTCCTTTTCCCATAAATATCTCAAATTTGTCTTTTTCCAAAAAGCTCAGCCAGTTGGATCGATCCAGCCTAAGTTCGATAGATCTCAGCCAGTTTGATCAATCCAAGTCTAAGGTTCGATTGATCAAACTTCCTCCAGTGCGAAAAAGTTAAAATTCCATCTCATTGAAAGTTGTCCTTTATCCAATCATTAGGGAATATTGTGTGCATGACCCCAGCTCATTTTGGGTGTCATTTTGACCTACCTATATAAGGATAATGATTGCTTTTTATAAAGGGAGCCAATATTTTTTTCATATCATTTCTTGGAAAGGAAGCTTAGAGGAGGAGGAAGCTAGAGACACCATTGGAGTTCTTCATCAACAAGGAGCAGATTTCAACCATGGAATTAGCCCTTAAGGGTTGGAGCATCATCACCATGAGTGGCTAGACATCTTCTTAGGGCTAGAGTTAGCCCCAAGCATGCTTTCTATATCTTAATCTTGTGTATTATTGAGGGATTAGTGTTGTAATTGATGTTTTGACACTTTGATTTATATAGATCTTGTTTATTCAATGATTTATGTGGTTTAATGCTTCCAATTGATCATTTCATTCTATCCATATATCTATGTATACTAAAATAGATGTTCATGTGCTTGTCTCTAGATTTTGTGTTATTGATGTATGTCTATGTGTATTGATGCTATAGATTTGAAGATTGTCAAAACATAGTACTTAAAGGAATGCTTTTGTGATTTTCTTGATGGTTTATGCTTATACCTTGATGGATTGTGCCTCTCCCCTAGTTTATTTTCATGCTAGTAGTGTAGATGTAGTGTAATTGTAGTGTAGTGTTAAATGGAAGGACAATTCATGCTTGTTGTTTGATGATCCAAGCTTTTGAATGCAAGTATCATATGTCTCTATCCTTGTGTTGTATTTAGATTGTGAGCTTAATGAAAAGATTAATGACTTGTTTTGATTTATTGTGCCTTTCACATGATGTTTAGACAATATATGCTTCATTGCTTAGATATATTGTACCTTTCACATGATGTTTAGACAATACATGCTTAACTAGTCATCCTTACTTGTTGAATCAACCAAACACACATACACCAATATTGCAACACACCATTTACCCTCATTAATCACTTGTCAATGATATAGAAATGCATTACTTGGTGGTGATCTCTAAACTCCAAGATCTCTCTCTCTCTTACTTTCTCTTAATTGCATTTTCTTTGCTATTACTTAGTTTAATTTAGTTGCTCTTTAATTAACCAACCAACCAATTGTTTGATCACTCGACCTACTAGCCCTAATAACGATTCCATGACATTGCTCGATCCTCACAATCCCTTGGGACGATCCTTACTCGCCCTAGCTACTTTAGTAGTAGTGTTGGTAGGGGTTTTTATAAATTTAAACTTGAATCAAAAGACTTTTCTTGAACCGCACATTCACTACATCAATTTTGGCGTATAGGAACGGCTGTTCATCCCGTCACTTACTTACTCTTTATTGCATTCAATTATTTTGTTTAGTTTGCTCTCTAGTTTAATCAACCAACCAACTATTTGTTTGATCACTCGACCTATTAACCCTAATTGTGATTCCACAACCAAATTTGACTTCAATCCCTTGGGATGATCCCTACTCACCCTAACTATATTTTTAGTGAAGGTAGTAGTGGCTTCTATAAATGTAAAACTTGGCCCTCGTCTTAATGCACACTCTTTAAGCTTGTGGTGAACGACAACCACCAGTGTCCCAACCAACTCTCGGACACACACGGCACACCCCACCGTGTCCGACATGCAAAACGAGAAAAGACGAAAATGCCCTCGTAAAATTAGAAAATTCCAAGAAATGGAAAATGGTAAAAAAAAATTAGAAACATCACAATTTATGCTAACCGAAGATAGTCCATATTTAACTTTAATTTTATATTATATTCTAACTGAATTAATATATGCTTGTAGGTATGATTAATTTCCTATGCATGCTTTATATTTCTCCAATAAATTGATGCATTTGACTGGTAGTGCAACGTTAATGGTGAAATCATGTCCTTAGTATCTTCTCTCATATTTTCCTCATTTAATTCAGTTGTTGCAATTAGTTTAATTTTATGTTCATTAGATTAAATTATTATTCCATCATAATTCGTTTGTCATACTTCAAAATAATTTAGAATTTAAGAAGTCTGTTAACAATTTAATTAATACAAGTCTCTTGGGTACTACACCTTACAAGAAGTCCTATCTATAAAGCTTCGTGCGCTTGCAAGTGGTTATATCTAAGCTTACAATAGTATCCTAACAAAAGGACTATTTCCACACTTCAGGCATGGTAAGGCTCCCATTGTGTGGCAGACGGTGTGTGCAAGCTTGTGGCCAGGAACAAATTCACCGTAAAATGGTTGACCAAGTTTTGGGGCCTTTTTCAAATAGAAAAAATAATATTTTGTAATAAAAAAAAGAATATTATAAATTCAAACTCTATAATTTCTCAATTCTTGCACTATGAATTTATTAGATCAAATAAGTACATTCAACCCAATAGAATTAACTGTCAAAAAAAGAAAATGTACTTAACAAATAAACTTTAAAACTATTCACCTCATATTGTCCCTTGGTCCGTAGGAACTCAAATGAGATTGAAATTCTAGTTCTTCCAATCCAAGCCGGCCATTGTAATAAATTATGTGTGTATAAAAATTTCTCATAGTTAGTAACATAAGCCATTGAATTAACTAATCTAGGAGTTATGGGTTTGTAAAATTATATTATTTTGGATAAATGGTGAGTTATATGAATTAATAATTTTTATTAGGAATTTCTTAATTAGGTGACATTTTTTAAATGTTAGACTTAGAATTAAAAAATAATTTATTAATTGTTATATAATTATAATATTGATATACAAATTAATCTAGTTTGATTAAATTATTTATATACAAGAATATTGTGTTTCTCCCCCACACAAAATTAGGATTCTAGTTCTTGCAATCAAGCATACTTTAATTTTAAAAAAATTAAATAGCCCACAAATTTCCCATTCCCGCGGGCGCCTCAGTCCACTCTGTAAATAAATGAATATTAAAAAAAAAAATTGCCCTAAAAATTTGCACCCGCTCTCGACAATTCCCACTCTTTCCAGAAGCCCCACTCTCTCCAGAAGCCCCATTCTCATTTATGCTTTAAAAATCCCTAATTGCGGCAAGCAAAGAAACCCACTAATCTGTTTCAAGGAAAGGTTGCCTTGCTTGCTTGGATCGCGATTCCCTAAGCTCTAAATTGAATCGTGACTCTTCTCCCCTCTCTCCGTCCTAATTCATGCAATAGCCCCCTCAGATGCTAAGGTTTTGCATGCGTGTTTGGCTGTTCTGTTAGTCTGATAACTCTAAGACTGGGGAGGCTCAAATGGATGGGTTAACCACATTAACGGTGCCCCCTTTTTCACTTCCGGCAACCCAAGGTCAGTTTCAAAGTCCCTTTTATGAATAAACCAACAATCTGTATATGTTTATATATATATATATATATATATATATATATATATATTTGTGTATTGTCAGGTGTTGAAATTGTCTTTCCTTCTAGGGTTTTTGTTTAGTTTTTAAATTTTGTTTGATTCTGAAATTTTCAACACTCCTACTTTCAAAATTGGCGATTTCTACAGTTGAAGATTTGAACTGTGATTTCTGAAGTTAACAACTGCGTGTTTTTCGCTGTGTCTTCTAAACCCACATGGTTGGACTGTTGAATTTCAGGGCTTTTGAAGGTTTTTGAAGGGCGGCCAGAATTGCGACTTTGTTAGCTGTGGGGTTAGCGTACCTTACCTTAGATGATTTTGTGAGTTTGGGTCTAGGTCCAAGTTCTGGTATGTACAGATTTGTGTGTTTATATATGTATAGATTAGATGATTTTTGCATTTTCTTCTATATGCTTTATACGAATCGGTGAGGCTTGTTTGATGAATGCATACAATCTTTTTTTATCTTTAGATGCATTAATTAAACAAGCCCATTTCAATTATTAATTAATTAAGTCTATGATAAAACATACAATATATATTGTTTAGAGATTAATCACCAGTGAGGCCATTTTCTATCCTCTCAACAATACCACTTGGGCATGTTACAATCGGATTGCTTGTTCTTAGTTTCTTCTTTTCGTTGGTGTAGAGGTTTCTGTGTGTGTGTGTGTATATATATATATCTCACATATAACTATTTAGAGATGCAAACTTTCTCACAAGATTAATTTTGATTGTATGGTTGATGTAAACTGGCTATATGTCTTGTTCTTGTATAATATATAAAAATAACTTTATGGGCTTGCTTAATTTCTACTTTGTTCTTTTGCTTTTTCTTTTTTCATTGTCAATTTGAATCCGTGACCAGCCTTCTTTAATTTTTTTTATTTTTATTATTTATTTATTGTTTATTTAATTTGTACTCACATAACAAATTAATAACTTCTACTATTTTATTGTTCTTTGTTTTTTTTTTTAATTTTTTATTTTTCGATAAAGTAACAAAATTGTATTGGGTAAATATGCTTCTATCCCTCTGGAAGTCTCTGGATTAGGGGAATTATGCATGGTGGAGGATTACACTGTTGTGTAGGTCATTATAAATATTTAAAAGAAAATAAAAAGTTTTTTTTTTTTTTTTTTTTTTTTACCAAAAAAAAAAAAAAAGATTATTGAGTTACTTCAAGTCTTCAACCAATTCATATATCATCAGAGCTAAACTTCTACTTCTACTTCTCTACATCATAGGAACAAAAACTCTAAATTTCATACTTAAATGGTATAAGCTAAGTTTTACCTGCATAACTTAGATTTTGCCATTTTTGCATTCCCGTTCTCGTTCACGCTCCCACTTCTGTGTGACTTAAAGGGTATGAGCTTTCCTCCCCGGGTATAAGCAATAATACTTCAATTCCAAATTATGTATAAATTATATATATACGTGGGATTCAAAACTTGATGTTTCTTTCATCTATCTCCAAATACCATTGATCAATAACTTATCGGATATAAAAAACTCCAACACAATACCGTTAACCAATTAACACTCAAGTGGCACCACTTATTGAAATAGGCTTGTTTGATGAATGCATCTAAAGATAAAAATGACAAGACTAACAAATTTAGGTTATATTTTTTTTAGGATTTCTCAGCAACTAACGTAGCATTAATCATATCTAAAAAAAAAAAAAAAAAAAAAAAAAACTAGATCTTTACGTTTTAATTTGTCTTTTTTTTTTTTTTTCGTCTCTGGATCAGATCTGCTGGGTCAACTTGTCAACATGATCTATCATGTATAGAGCTTATTGTCATTAATATCTAGAACATAATTTTTAAGTTACTCACAGTTTACTGCTTTAAGGTGATTTGGTTTCTGTTAATGTTTTTTAATTATATATATATATAATTAGTACAAATGTTGTTAATATCATTGTCCCATGTTGGACCAATAGTAGGTCTTTTGAATCTAGTTATAAGATAGCACTTACAATAGCATGATAGTATGAGAAAGCTAATACTTCATTTTTTTTATTTTTTTATTTAAAGGTTCTTGTAGTGAATAAGCATGAACGCATGAAATTAAAATCAGAAATTATAGAGTTTAAATTAAACACTTTAAGTACATAAAAGTAGTAATGATTGATTGTTAATTTCGCAATAAGTTATCGTAAGCCTGTTGAGCAACTAGTTGATGGCCATAAGTTAATTTTGCTTTGGCCATCAACATGCTTAGGATAAAGCAAAATTAACTTATTATTCTGATTGTGCTTTGATTAGTAAAACATCTTTCCCTAAACAATATCTTTATGTTATCTGAATACCTAATTTTTTTAATACTTATTTATTTGTAGACAATTCTTAAACAATCTCTCCCTTCGAATATAATTGAGGGGGACTATTTATTTGTGCCAATAAAGTATCAATAAGTGTTATTGAATGTTTTGGCTTTTCAATTAATTTTGACGTGCAATCAGCATGAGAATGAGATTGTAATAATTTCTCTAGAAATAAGTAGAACTTGTTCATATTGTGTGATCACATACATCTTGCAAAGGCATTTACTTGTTTCTACTTGTATTTAGTTTAAATTCCATTATTTTCAATACAACACATCAGTCTTAGGAATGGAAAGAAAGTGTATCTCAGTGGTCTCCAAGAAGACCAATTTAATTTGGAATTAATATGGTAAGCAACTTGTCAAGACTAGGCATGTCAAACCAGCCCCATTCCAACCATAACTTGTTGATCAACTAATTTGATGCCCCTTTTCTTCTTCGAAGAATTTTTTTTTTTATATATTATATTTCTTATTGATTAGGAAGAAAATGAAACATTAGGAAGAAAATGAAACATTCTTGTGGAGAGGATTACTACAGTAAATATACTAATCAGTTTGTGATTAATTTTAGTTTTCTATTTCGAGTTTGGACCACTTCTAGTTCAACTTTATAACAAGTTTTAGTTTTGAGACTAAAATCTCAAATTGGTTTTGGACAAAGCACAACCCAACCCTTAAAATCTCTATGGAGCTTAACAATGGTGAATCAAACTCTGAGCAGTGCTCAATTCTGAGTTGTGTTCTTGCCCAGTTTGGGCTATAGTAATGCAGAAGTTCGATCTTGAAGCACGCCATGTGGCTGCAAAACAAGCATTTCAGGCTCTGTCAAGTGGGATTACAGAAGAAATCTGGAGCACCCTATATTTTCGTGTTGTAAAGAAAGCATTCTGTGAGAAATGAAGGCTGTTTTGCAACAGATCTAAGAGTGAAGATATGGTTTGTCTGCATCTTTAGCATTAAAATACTTGATGATTCATTACAATGACTACATCTGAGACCAGTTGCTCTTAAGCTTCGCATTTGGATGATTAGTAATAACTGCACCGTATGAATTTATTTGTTAATATGCAGTTGATGTCCACTGGACCTTTCAGTTTATAAATAATAAAAAAAAAGTTTTAATTCTGAGACTACACCATTTACAATTCAAGTATAAACCACTTTTAATTACTTTCAGTTGACCCCACTTTTGGATTGAGTTTGCACCCTTTTTTATTCAGTTTTGTTACCAGTTTGACTTCCAATTTGTACCACTATTGCTTAGATTGCCTGACCAGTTTCTTTTTCTCCTTCTCTTTAAATATTTTATACTATAATAATTTGTTTTCATATGCTATATATGAATATGATATTAGGAACAATTATGGAGAAAAACGAAAGTCTAAGGGTGTTGACAACCCTTACCAAGATATAGTCAAATAGGCCTTCAAACTCTGGAAAAAAAATGAGTGCTGAGGAGGAGCCTTATGGGGCAGCCTACTTGAAAGAATTGGAAATTTTCAGGAAGGAGCAAAAGGTAATGTCTTATTGGATACCACACAGTAACATTCAATTTGGTGGTTATTAAAATTTAGCTTTCTATTTTTCCTCACATGAAATTTTTTTTTTTTTCCATAGTTTTAATAGATTAATAGTTTTAAACTTTTAATAGATGGAGCAGAGAAATGAAAATAGCAGGCAAAAATGAGTTGATTTATCTTTTTTATTGGTGTTCTTATTTTCTATTTATATTTTTTCTTTCATGTAACATATTTTGAAAACTTAGCTTTGGGTTCATTTTTTTGACATAGGCACTAATTGTATTTATTTATTGTTGGTTTTGCAAATTGTTGGATGAGCTCATGCTAAAAGAATTCAAGCTCTTTTTGTTTAAGATGGTTTAAGTAGTTTATGTCCAGATCTTTGAACCCTTTGTTTAGGATTTTATAGCTCATTTTTGTTTAAGATCTCGGAACATTCTATTTAGGATACTAGCTTGTTTTTGTCCGGATGGTAAAACTCATTTTTTTTTTTTTGGTCCCAATGGGCTTTATTGTATATGTTGTAAACAATACTTTTTTGGTTCATGTGGCTTATGTAATATCAAGTATTTATTTATTTGCATAATTATTTTGATGTGTTATATAATTTATAGGTTATAATGTTATAATTGGTGCCATATTAATATCTTATTAATATATATAAATTCAAAACAAAAAAAAATAATATATTGAAAAAATAGGAACATTTTTCACTAACAAATTTTGTGGCCTATTTTGGATATTTGTTATGATATATATTTGTGGTCGATTAAAATTATAGTCTTATTCGTGGTCTATTTTGGGTAAAATATAGCCATAAATAAACTTCGTGGCATATTTTTGGTAGTTGCAATGACGTATATTTGTGGGCAATTAAAATTATAGTCACGAATAAACTATAGCTTATTTTGGGTATTTGTCACGACATATATTCGTGGGCAATTAAATTTATAGCCACGAATAAATTCCGTGGGAAAAGACCTATTCTATCACGATAAATATTTTCGTGACAAAAGGATTGATGGCAATAGAAGGTATTTTATCACGAGTTCAAATTTGTGCCAAAAGTTTCACATTTTGCCAAGAAAATGTTTAGTCGCGGTTATTGGCATTCTGTGACGGGGCTACACCCACGATTGAGTCACGAGCTTTTATTTTTGTGGCTAAAAAGCTTTCGCAACGAAATTTGAAAGTTTTTGCCACGAAGTGTCTTGTGGCAAGAACCCAAATTTGTTGTAGTGTAAAAAATAGATTTAGTGTTAAACGATATATTGTCACATAAAATTTTACTTCATTTTAAGTTGTGCTTAGCATTTTTAGTGATATTTAAATTGTATTATCAAATATACTTAGTTTGATCTTAATCTGTTTAGTATTAAATATTAAATTGAATTATCAAACACCACCGAAGATGAGAAAAGAACCGGTGATTTTTTTCTTTTTTTTGATAAAAAAAGAACTGTGGTGATTAGAGATAAAATAATGAATATTTAATTTTAAAATTTACCAAAAACAACAATGGACGTAGATTTTCTTCACCGGGTAATATCTAGATTATTATGCCAATTCATGATTTTGAATCATAAAAGAGTGTCGTGGATTTAGATAAAAAGTATCCAGAAAATTTGAGGAGTCTTCCTTGGAGGATGATGATGATGAGATTTGGAGTGTGATATGGTTACCTGCACAGAGAGAGATTTGGAGTTACATGTGTACTATGTACAGGTGGGAGAGACGGGTCTTTTGCTTCTTTTTATTCTCTTTATTCTTTTTTTTTTTTAAAAAAAATTCTTTTAAAATGTAAAACTTAAGTATAGAAAATTCTAGTATAGGATTTGAAATTGCGTATGGATCAACCGCCCGTCTTGTCAACCGAATCAATCGGCCGACATAAATACGAGTTAATAGATGAAAATGCGTATGGATCTGTCACAATATTTTCTGTGATATTATGGACCAGGTGATGGGTTTGAAAAATATAACATTTAAACATACCAAAAAAAAATATAAAACGAGAGCCGCAGTCGACCATCGCTGATCAATCTGGGCTGATGCAACTGTCATTGGCAAAGACGTTTGGTTTGAAGTTAGCATGATCAATTTGACTTTCTATTTATTTAATTATTTTAATAACTTTTGTCACTCTTTGCCAAGAGCGAGCCTATAAAACTGAAGCTAATTTACTTGCCAATAGCATCCCACCAAGACATAGAGAGATAAATAGACATCTAGAGAGAGAGAGAAAATGGGTTTCATTGCTATGTTAGAGAAGTCTCATGCCGTAT